CACATGCCCAGTCCTTTTAAATTTTTTTTTTTTTTTTTTTAATTTTGAGACAGGGTCTCACTAAGTTGTTTAGGACCTCACTAAGTTGCTGAGGCTGGCCTTGAACTCTCAATCCTCCTTCCTCAGCCTTCTGAGCTCTCGGAATACAGGTGCATGCAACAGCTGTGTTTTATTAACTTTTTCTTCCCTCTCTGACCAGGGTGACCAGTTGTCCCCAAAACCATTTCCAAGTTAGGAGATTTTCTAGAAGGACTTACGGGAGCCAGTATGTAGTTGATTTACTTGGTGTCAGAATAAAGGCACGCACCAGATCTAAAGGAGAAAATGACCTAATGGGTGGCTCAGAGCAGCTTAGCTGCCCCAGTGAAAAGACAGCAATTTGTGTGTTGCATTTCTGCCCAGGGAAGCCCACCGGAGGCTCAGTACCCCAGGTTTTCATTGGCGGAGTCACCATGCACCTGTGTCTGGATGTTCCAGAGGAGAGCAGGTGTGTGCAGTTCTGAGCAGTCCAGGTACACTGACCTACCCTCATCTCACCTTTTTTTTTCAGTTCTGGGGATTGAACCCAGGATCTCCCACATGCCAGGAAAGCACTCTGCAACTAAGCTATGTCCCCAGCCCAAGCCACTCTAATCATTAGGACATGGAGGGATGCATGTACCAGAGAATTTCCCAGAGGCAAGCAGATCAGAGTGGATCTAGCCAGCAGAGCTCTATAAGGACGGCAGCCCCAGACTTCTATGTGAACTCCTTCTTGCACTCCCCGCCCCCCGCCCTATCCCACGTGCAGATGAATCTTCATCGCAAGGGATTATGTGGCAATGATTGCTGTAGACGAGGTAGAGAAATCAGATCTGGAGAGGAAATCAAGACCTAAAAGAACAGCCAGGGCCTTGGGGTGCAGCTCAGTGGTGGAGCGCTTGCCCGGATGCTCCAGGCTGTGGGCTCACTCTGCAGCACCACAAAACAAACAAAAATTTCAGTTATTTGTTCATTTATTTTGAGACAGGATCTTGCCCAGTCTGGTCTCCAGCTCCTGAATTCAAGTCAGCCTCCTGCCTCAGCCTCCCATATTGCTGGGACCTTAGGCACAAAGCCCTGCCCTGGCCCATGGAACTCCTTTTGGTTCTGAACCCAGGGGTATTTTACTGCTGAGCTCCATCCCTAGCCCTTTTTTATTTTTATTTTGAGGCAGGCTCTTGCTAAATTGCTGAGGGTCTCCCTACATTTCCCAGGCTGGCCTTCAACTTGAGATTCTCCTGCCTCAGCCTCTGGAGTCACTGGGATTACAGAGGATGGGCCACTTACTTATAAAATTTATTTTCGATAAACTTAGAGACCTAGGAGGTAGGAACCACAGGCTACCATGCATCTCTAAGTGGGGGACCCAGTGCGTGGTGTCATTGAGTGACAGCGTCTCTATTGAGCATGTCCGTGTGGTGTTTGTGGGTCTGTGTTGTGCTGTGGTGTTTGAGATCCATGTGAAAGCCTGGGAGTGCGGCTGGGTGAGTGTGTGTGTGTGTGTGCGCCCGCGCCTCCAAGTGCAGCAATGTGTGTCTTGTCCCTGGATGAATGACAGCACGCCCTATCATGTTACTGAGCAGCTGTGTCTCTGCAGGCTGGTGGCATTTTGAGTTGCTGTGTGTCATGGGCGTTAGTGATGGAGTCTGTGCAGCATGGTGCTTGGTACCTGACTGTGGGTCCCAGGGGCTGGCTCTCTGGGTGGCCTTTGTGTTCCTGGGTGGAACATGTGTGTCGTGTGTTGGGCGCTGGGTACTGTCACCCATCCCACCCTGCAGCAGGCTGGCGGTGGCTGCGCCTGTGGATGTGTCGTGACGTGGCTGGACACTGACTGGCTGTCGTGGTGACCTGTGGCTGAATAAAGATGGGTGCTGATGTGACTGTGTCTTAGTTGGGCTGGGTTTGGGCGAATGTGCAGTTGTGCAGTCGGGGGAAGGGGTGCTGGTGTACCCCTGGGGGCTGTGTGTGTGAGACACACAGGGGCACGGATGAGTGCCAGCCTGCCGCCACTGATTTCTCTGGCCTCTCCTGCGGGGCAACAAGGACCCCTTTGTTCTCAATGACAGAAGAGGAATGTCCCTCCTCTCGTGAGGTCCCGGCAGTGCTCTGCCACTGAGCCGTGCCCAGGGACTGCTTGGCCCCGCCATCACTGGTATGCACTATAGAGCCCCAGAGAGATCACCTGGGGCCCTCTGAACAGTGCTGTTATGGGTTGAACCGCGTCCTGCGCAAAATTCCTATGTGACAATCCTAACCCCCTAACCTCTGAACGTGACCTTATTTGAAAATAGGGTCATTAGGGATGTCATTAGTTAAGGTGAGGTCACATTGGAATACAGCGGGTCCCTGCTCCAACATGGTTGTTATAAACCAGGGCACATGGACACCGACACCCGCGGACATGGCCTGTGAACACGAGGTGAGACCGGGTGGGGTCTCTGCAACCACGGAGTCCGCCAGAGATCCAGCGACCCACCAGAAACCAGGCCAGATTCTCCCTCAGGGTCCTTGGAAGGAACCAGTCCTGATCTTGATCTCAGACTTCTGGCTTCCGGAAACGTAAGACAATTACAGCCAGTTGGTTTGTCCTTGGTGAGAACCGCCCAGAAGGCACAGGACTTTCTCTACATGTTGGAGGATGAGCAGGAGGCAGAGGGCAGGAACAGAATGTGCAAAGGCCCAGAGGCAGGGCTGTGGGTGAGGTCCTTGATGAAACCTCAGTAGAGCTGGGTTTGGGCAGTATTGGAGGGGCCAGAGAGGCACCCTGGGACCAGGGAGAAGTAGGTCATGCTATGGTTTGGGTCTTTGTTCTGAGGGCACTGGCTCTATTTATGAGGTACTCACACTTCACGCTGCCCTGTGCTAATTGCTGCTCCTACACTTGCTCCTTAAATCTGATGCCAGAGATGGGAACTTCTGACCCAGTGAGCACCGAAATGAAATTGGGCCAGAGAGCAGTAGCACACAGGTAAAGCTTTAATTGGGTGGTTTAGCCTCAAGGAGAGGGGACACAGCAGTGATAGAATTAGGCTAGGTCCCCAAACAAAGCAAGAAGCTATTTTTTACTTATGTGTAAGGTTATAGGAGGTGGGTTAGGGATTGGGATGTTTTTTATTCTGGAAATTAAACCCAGGGCCACTTAATCACTGAGCCACATCCCCAGCCATTTAAAAACATTTTTTACTTAGAGACAGGGTCTCTCTAAGTTGCTGAGTCTCGCTTTAAATTCTCCATCCTCCTACCTTGGCCGTCCCAGATGCTGGGATTACAGGCCATGGTGCCCAGTGTGTTTAGAAATTTTAATGGAGTTTAGATCTTTAAAAAAAATTTTTTTTTTCCTGTGTGAGCACTTTGAGAGATGGTCAGTGTCAGTTTAGAGCCCAACTTTACATCTGTCCTGTTGATGCTGTATCCCTTTTAATCCTGTTTGCCCCGCAATAAGGTCACTGCAGCTGTTAAGAGAATACACGGGTATGGCTTTGCACACCTGTAATCTCAGCGACTGGGGGGGTCTGAGGCTGAAGGATCACCAGTTCAAGGCCAGCCTGGTAACATAGCCAGACCCTGTCTCAAAATAAAAAGGGCTGAGGAAGTAGCTCAGGGGTAGGGGGTTGGGTTTGTCTTGAGTCCTTTGCCCTGATCCCCCAACAATTTCCTTCTCTTATCTAGTTTATCTTTGAAAATGGTAAGGCAAAGATATCTTGGCTAAACGAGGCATCTGGTTTGGTTGGGTTTTGTACAGGGGTATGTGTGTGTTTGAAACAGGGGCCTGTGCCTGCCACTTGCTAGGCAAGTGCTCTACCACTGAGCCACATCCTCCACTCCTTTTATTTTTTTAGTGCCCATGGGGGCGCTCAACCACGGAGCCACACCCTCAGCCTTTTTTCTGTTAGAGACAGGGTCTCGCTGAGTTGCTAACTGCCTCCTAAGTTGCTGAGGTGGGCTTTGAACTCCTGCCTAGGCCTCCCAAGTCACTGGGATTACAGGCGTGCGCCACCACGCCTGGCTTTATGTTTACTTTAGAGACAGGGTCTCCTTAAGTTGCTGAGGCTGCCTTTGAACTTGGGTTCTTCATCCTCAGTTCTTCATCCCAAGTCACTGGGATTACAGTCGTGCGCCACCATACCTGGCTTTTTTTCCTTTCTTTTCTTTTGAGTGCCTGTGGAGGTACCTGTCTCAAATCCTCCCAAAATAACACAGCCAGCGAGGAAGATGGAGGGGGACGTGAACTTTGCCAGGAGAGGTCAAGCGAGGACCCGGGAGGTAGAAGGTGAAGCTGGTACCTCCTCATCCACGTGTAGTCGGGAGCCAGAGCAGCAGGGGGCACCCAGCGAGGCGGTGAAACGAGAGACCATCGCCCGCAGGCGATCACGCCCACCTCGCAGAGGGGGGCACCGAGGCTTAGAGAGAGGAAGGGGTCTTAAGCCCTCAACTCTGCAGCCTGCTTCCATGACCTGCCGTGGATCCCTTCGCGGGGAGCCGGGATGAAGGCGCAGAGAGGAGGGCTACATGGTAATGAGGCGCCTCAGGGCCGGCGGCTGGGTTTGGAACGCTCGCCGGACCCCGCAGCCTCCCCTTCGCGGTCCCACTGCCTACCCGAACCTTTCGGGGCTCCGTTGCCTCTTGGGGTAGGAGAGGTCCCAACCCCTCCCCGCGCTTCGGCTCCCCCGCCCCCTTCCAGCCACGCGGTAGCGTGACCATCAACGCAGCCAATTCCCTGCCACCGCCCCGCCGGGCTGTACCGTGCTGGCTGGAGTGGCGGGGGGCGGGGGAGAAGGAAGGGAATGCGTGCAGGGCTTGTCCCAGGCACTCCCTCCATCCAGACACCGACTAGCCCGACAAGGGGACAGTAAGGAGGCTGCCGCGGGGGTGTCGGGTCGCGGGCCGCGGGGCTCTGTGGCCGCTTCGGCGCCGCGGTGACCCCGCATCCCCCCGCTCCCTGCATTGGTTCGCGCCGCGGAGCGCGAAGAACCAGCCGTGTGCGCGGTGCCCGAGACACAGCGGTAGCGAGTCCGCGGAGCACGGTCAGGTCGGAGGGTCAGCTGTGCGGCGGCTGCTGCGTCGCGATCATGGCTCTCAAAGTCCGAGTCGTTTACTGGTAAGCGCGGAGGCCAGGGGCCTCTCCCTACCGCGATTTCCGTGCGCTCGGAGCCGGGATGGGGCGTCGGGGGCTGGATCTCAGGCACCCGGGAGGAGAAAAGCGGCTGGGTGGGGCCAGGAGGGGTGAGGGCCGCGGGGAGTTGAACCCCCATTTGGGACAAGCGGGACGTCTCGGGTTGTGAAGGGTCCAGCGGAGACGTGTGTGTGGCCGCCGCAGACGCCGAGGGGCTTGGCCGCGGGTCGGGTGGATCTGTGCACTCCTGGGACCGACCCCTCGGCTATGCTCCGATTTCCCCCCGCCCGCGAACAGCCCCTGGGTCAGGACGGCCTCCTGAACCTTCCTGGGTTTAGAAAAGACGCAAATGACAACCTTCGCCCGGTGCCCGTGGGTGCCCCTGCTGCCAACCCCACTCTTCTCGGGCCACAGTTCCCCCTTCGGTAATGCGAAGAGGGCAAACTTAGTAGCTCCTGCCCAGGGAGCGCTGCTCGCCAGCCCCGACTGCCTTTGAACCTATTTCCTCTGCTCAGAGGATCTCCCTGGCACCTCATTCTATGCTAGCATGCAGTAGGTGCTTAATAAATACTGGTTCAATGAATTTACTGCCCCCTGAGCCTTTTGAGGGAGGGGAATTCTAGCTTCATTTTACGGGGCAGGGAGAGGGGAATGCAGTAGTTCGAGGTCCTAGCTAAGATGGGGGCCACTCCAACCTGGGTGGCTGGCCCAATTGTCTGGGACACACACCCGGGATCCAGTGGGTCTCAGTTTTGGGAATGCCATGGCCTGTTAGAAGCACAGCTCGCTTGACATTTTGAGCTCCCAGGAGGCCTGTGCACCAGATTCCAGCCGGAAATGGCATCGTGGGTGTTGAAGGTGTTCAGGATCCAGGAGCTACAGGGCTTCCTTCAGTGCTCTGGGCGTGGGCCCAGCCGAGATTGCATGCTGTTTATGCAGCTCTTGTTCTAACCCAGTGCCCTCCGTTCCCTCCCCTGTTGCCTTCCCCGCCTCATGTGGCCACATAATTGTGATCTGGTCACCCCGAGTGCGGCCTCCCTCTCCTCCTTTGCCCGGCTTGGCTCTTTTCTCTGCTGTTTCCTATTACACTCTGGTGTCCGTGTGTCTTTCTTCCCTTCTCTGCCTCTTCTGCTTGGTCATTTCTGCCCATCTTATTCTCTTCTCTTCCTGGTCCCCTTTGTCCTGCCATTACTGCCTGGCTTTCCCTGTGTCCCCACCTGTCTGCCTGTCCTGGAACTCCTCACTTGGACTCACCTACCAGTGGCGCTTGAGGCTACAAGCCTAAGGTAAGCCGGGTGCCCTCAGGAAGCACCCTGAGTTGGGGGAGTGCATCTGGGGGGCTGGCTGGGCACTGCTCTGATCTCCTCCCCCTTTTCAGTATCTCCAGCTCAAGAAGAAGCTAGAAGATGAGTTCCCTGGATGCCTGGACATTGTGAGTCTCGGGGATGTGGACGTGGAGCCAGTCAGGCCCCTCGTCCGTCTGAGGGTCTGGTGGTGGTGGAGGTGGCTTAGCCCCACAGCCTTTACCCTCACCCCATACTTCCTGGGAAGGGGAAGCGTTTCCAAGAGGGCATCCCAGTGCCAATCTGTCCTCCCTGCTTAGTGCGGCGAGGGGACTCCCCAGGTCACCGGGTTCTTTGAAGTGATGGTAGCCGGGAAGCTGGTTCACTCCAAGAAGGTATCTCTCTGTGTGTGTCTTGTTTGGGGGTCAAGTAGGACTGGGGCGGAGGCTGGTGTGTGGGTCCCAGCTTGACCCTTTCTCTCTTTCCCCTCCCCAGAGAGGTGATGGCTATGTGGACACGGAGAGCAAGTTTCTGAAGCTGGTGGCTGCCATCAAAGCCGCCTTGGCTCAGGGCTAGAGTGCCCTGAAGGCAGAGGTGAGGGGCCCAGGCAGGCGCTGACCTGGGACCAGTCTGGGAGATGGGGGCATCCAGGTGTCCCCGGGGCAGGAGGAGTGGAAACAAGGTCTGGGTGGTGCAGGATGACTCCTGAGCTGGCAGTAGGCTGAGGGCTGCCCTCAGCAGCTCTCCTGGCTTTGGAATAAAAGGTACTAAAGAGACACTCTGGATTTTGTCCCTTTGCCAGGAAACAGTGACTATCTGTGACTGTCAGCCCAGGTTACAGGCACGTTTGGAAACACAGCTCCTGTGCTTAGTATTTTCAACCTGATCACCAGTTATCAGACCCTGAACCTGAGACTTTTCCCGAGTGGGCCCACAAATACTTTAAGAAACTAACTGACAAAGAATGTTCAAGAAACTGACACTAACTCTAGAACCTGCCCCAGAAGGGACTCCCTTCTCCCCCAGAGCAATGTAGAATCAAATTCAGAACCAGCTGTCAGCATACCCTGAACCCAGGCACCCCTTCCCACACCTGCACGGAACTGTGCAGACCAGCTCCCAAACTGCAGAACTGATATCTAGTTCCCTATGTCCTCTGAGCCAGGTAGTTCCTTCCAGCCCAGCCCGTTCTAGAACACATAGCCGTTTCCATAACCCTCTGGAACATGGACTGCTTTCCAGAGCCCTCTTGAGTTTGGTTTCAGTTTCCTCAAGTACATTCCAGATGAGTTCCAAACCCCTTCTCATCCAGGACTGGGCACTACTCACCAGCGCAGACCAGGGCTAAGTTCTGGTTTTGGGGACAGTCCTTCCCCGACCCGCCTATACTAGAGATTGAGCCCAGGGCTGCTTTACCACTGAGCTTCAGCCTCAGCCTTTGATTTCAAGACAGGGTCTGGCCAAGTTGCCAAGCCTGGCCTTGAACCTGCGATCCTTCCCCCAAGTCACAGGGATTGCGGGTGTGCACCACCTTCCTGCTCCAGAGCAGTGAGGCCACTCTGAATTTGGACATGCAGATCTAAAGTAGTGACTACAGAAGGACAGTGGCATCCTCCCTCTTGTGTGGGTCTGACATGAAGCACCCCCACCCCCAAATTGGAAACGAATTTCTTGGTTCCACAGTGGCTGAGGGACGGTGGGTGGTGCCACGCAGCGGGATTTGATTTGAACTCTGTGGAGTGAGCAGCTCTGTCTAAACCCCCCTCCAGTCTGTACTGGCAGAGGCTCCCTTGGATTCCAGGGGGTGAGTCAATAGATGACTTCATCTCCCATAAAGGAAAGTGGGTTTGCATAAGGAAGAAATGGGGGGGAGACAAGTCTGTGAAGAGTGACTGTTTTTGTTTGTTTGTTTTGGTGCTTGGGGGTGGAACCCAGGGCCTGCCACCTGCTGAGCACATGCCCTGCCCCAGGGCCACTGCCTGCCCCTGTTTGGTAGTGCTGTGGCTCTAGTTTTCAGGACCCTTGGAAGGATTCAGAAGAACTCCAGCAGCTGTTCTGCATAGTTCCAGGTTACCTAGGGAGGGGCAGAGGGCAGGGGTCACCAGGCAGGAGCTTGTGCCCTGTCCCCCAGACAGATGCAGGCTGATTGTGCCAGCTGCCATGTTGACGAGATGGGTGAAAACACTCCCCAGTTCTTGCGCTGGAGGGGCTCGCTGGCACCATCGCGTCCCAGCTTTTTACTGGGGACTGGGCATACACAGGGCTGGCCTTGTCTCCAGGCCCTCCAGAATTTAAGCTGAGGCCACACTCCCAGAGCCCGCGACACCAGCAGTGTTAGCACAGGTGGCTGTGGTTGAGGCAGAGTGAACCAGGGTGCCAGGCAGGCCATCCTGAGGACTTCGGTACTTCCTCCCAGGAGCCAGGCTCTTGGGGCAAGGTGGTTCCTGCTGCACGTGGTGTGGCCGTCAGCTGGTGAAGAGCAGTAAAGTCTGTCAGGATGGCACAGGCCTGTGATCCCAGTGAGGCTGAGGCAAGAGGGTTGCAAGTTCGAGGCCCGCCTCAGCAACTTGGCAAGATCTTGTTTGAAAATAAAAAATGAGAAAAAGAAGGGCAGGGGGTGGGGGATAGGAGTTGGCTCAGTGGTAGAGTGCCCCTGGGTGCAATCCCCAGGACCAAAGCAAAACTCCCCCTGAACCTGTGTGTTAACCAGGTGGTGCACACCCGCAATCCCAGCAATTCAGGAGGCTGAGGCAGGAGAACCACAAGTTCGAGGCCAGCCTCAGCAATGTGGCAAGACCCCTGTCTCAAAGACTAAAAGGGGCTGGGGATGTGGCTCAGTGGTAAAGCACTCCTGGGTCCATTTCCCAGTATCAAGAAACAACCCCACGTGTGAGTTGCGGTGGGCTCTGGAGACAGGGTTTGGCTCTGGGCCACCAGGCTTTCTGTAGGCCAGCAGGTGGCTGCCCATCACCTCTCTGCAGGCTCAGTGAGAGCTGGCCCTCAGCGGGTCCCTCCCTGTGCACCCTGTTTCCCTGGGCCTGCAGCTCTGTGTACCCTTGTCACGCTGACCTGGGCCCAACCTGCTCCCCCCTCCCCCTCTTCTCTCCGCAGTCCAGGGACCTTGGCCCAGGCCCGCTCAGCAGACGCTCCATGACAGGAAGGACTGAAATGTCTCCGGGACGCCTGGTCTTTTCTCGATGTCCTTGCAGCCTCTGGGTCGGGGCTGAGTCGACGCCCCTGGTCTTTGCCTCTGCGTGGGGTGAGGTGTTTCCTCCAGAAGCCACGCCCACACAGGTGGTCTCAAGCCTGTCATGGGGTCACCAAGAGAGCCCACACTTCCCTGCCCCCGCATTGCCCTGCACCCCCTACCTCCCCTCTGCTCCTGGAGGAGGCCTGTCCCTCGCCTTCCTCAAGGGAAGCTGGGGGGCCGGGTGGGTGCAGCCGTCCCCAGGCCAATAAACAGTGGGTGAATCCAACAGCAGAGCCTCATCTGTCCTCGCGTCCTGTCTTTCCCCTGGAGCCCCTCCAGTCTCCTGTCGCATTGCTGATGACAGGCACTTTAGGAGAGGACAGGTCAACATGATGCTAACGGAAAGCACACCCCTGCTCTGGGATCCTTTGTTCCATAGGAATCTCTCTGGCTCCGAATTCTTCTTTTTTGGTAGCAGACCTTAAACCAGTGGGCACTTGACTACGGAAATTGAGACAAGGGTGTCCCTGAGATGCTTAGGGCCTTCTAAGTTGCTGAGGCTGCCTCGGCCTCCTGTGTCTTCTGTGTGTGGCTTGCTGGGGCTGCTGTCACAATACCACCGACGGGGACTAAAGTAGCAGAAATGCCTTGTCTCACTTGGAGGAGGCTGCAGGCCTCTGCTGGGCTGGCAGAGGCCACCGGGCTGTGTCCTCACATGACCCTTCCTCTGCTCACTGTTGGCGTCTGTCCACTTGTAAGGAAACCTGTCGTGATGGGGGCCCCTTTATCCCCACCTTGAAAACCTTATGACCTCTAAGACTTTCAAGCCGGGCACCTCGGCTTCAGGAGGCTGAGGCAGGAGGACTGCCTCAGCAATTTAGCAAGGCCCTAAGCAACTTGGGGAGACCCTGTCTTGAAATAAAGGGCTGGGATGTGGCTCAGTGGTTGAGCACCCCTGGGCTCAATCCCTGTTACCAGAAATAAATGAATGAAGAAACTCTCCAAAGAAAATCTCCATGCTGGGGTGCTGGGCTTCAGCACAGGCCGTGTTCAGGGGGCCAGTGGGGCCCACTGCGAGCGCCTCTCCCCTGAGACCAGTGGGTCGTGGTTCGTCCTCCAGCTGCAGGTGGCAGAGCTGGTGCAGAGACTTCTGGGTTGAAGGTCGGGAAGGGCCCTCTGGTCAGTTCCTCCAGGGACCTGCAGCTCTGTTGGTGACCAGTGGCAAGCATGAGACCACCTGTCAAGCCATGCACAGCCCTGACCAGGCTGCTCCTCAGGTGGCAGGAGGTGCCAGCCAGGCCGACTGTGGAGGTGGCGCTGTGGGCCCCGTGTTCCCCAGGCCTCCTCTTTGTGCTCTTTCCCCTTGTCACCTGGGACACCAGGATGGGGGCCTGTTGTGCCTCCTTGCCTCTCGACCTTGCATTTGACCTTGTTACTAGTTTGCCCAAGGGAACCAGGAGGAAGGAGCCCTGAGCCCGTTCCTGGTCCCCAGAGGTCTCCTGTACACCTGCTGCCCTGAGGGGGTCTCGTGGCACTTGGCTGCTGGTCCCAGACGAGGGTGCCAGAGCGGAGCAGAGCTGCCCCCCAGCCCGTGAGCATGTGAACAGTTCAACCTGGCCAGGAACGTCCTAGATCAGGCCACCACCATGGTGGCACGCATCTGTACTCTCCTCCCAGCCACTCCGGAGGCTGGGGCAGGAGGATTGCAAGTTTGAGGTCAGCCTGGGCAATTCCTTGAGACCCTGTTTAAAAAAGAAAGAAAGAAAGAAAGAAAAGGATGTGGATGTAGCTTGTGGTAAAGCACCCCTGGGTTAAGTCCCCAGTATCCCTCACAGAGGGGGCATTTTGGCGAGTGCTGGGGCACTTGGGAGGCTGAGGTAGGAGGATCACTGGAACCCACAGGTTCAAGACCAGCCTAGGCAGCAGAATGGGATCTTGTAAATAAAAAATAAATAAACAGCTTTACTGAGATGTGACACACTGACACCCCGGTTTGAAGTGCAGGGCCTTGTTTGGTCAGGCAGAAGGTGAGGAGCATCCCCTAGCCACTAGAGAACCTGCAGGTGGTCAACACACCAGGCCAAAAGCAGCTCAGCAGGACACAGATAGCCAATCCCAATACCCCACCCCCAAAGAGAAAAAGAAAGTGGTAATAATGTCTGCACACCTCCTTTGTGTATTAAAGTGCACATTTTCCAGACAGCAGACGGTCCAGCTAAGCAGCACCAACATTAGTATCTATATTCTGATTAACCAGGGCCGATTTATTGAACAAGGTGATGTTGAGAGCCACAGACAAGGGGCCCCAGCAAACTTCCAGCTGCCAGCTGATGATTGGCTCACAGCAGCCCAAGCAAACTTCTAGCTGCCACGTGATTGGCTCCTCTGTGGTGATGCTCATTGGGTTGTTTCCCCGCCCTTTCAGACCAGGGAGCTACTCATTGGGGGACTTTTTTTGGCTCCGCCCATGCGACCCAGCCAATAGGCCTCAAGAGCAGGAGGAGGGGGCGGAGGTTGAGAGGCTTGTGGGAAGCTGGTGCTGGCAGTTGGGCTCCGAAGGTTTTTCCTAAAGAGCTGTGTGGTTTGTCGCGCACGTGTGTGTGTGTTTTCTAAAAATAAAGTTCGTTTCTTTTGACAAGTGGCTCCTGAATTGTGCCCAGCCAGACTGCGGCAAGGTGAGGAACTGGGTGAAGCGGGATCATGGTGGACAGCAATGGAGAGTTCATCCTTTTATTTTTGGCACTAGGGACTGAACCCGGGGGTGCTTAACCGCTGAGCCACATCTCCAGCCCTTTTGACTTTATTTACAGTATTTTTAAAAGTTCTTTTCCTTTTTATTTATTCATTCATTTAAGTACCCAGGATTGAACTCAGGGGCATTCAGCCACTGAGCCACATCTCCAGACCTTTTTATTTTTTATTTAAAAGAGACAGGGTCTCACTGAGTTGTTAGCACCTCACCATTGCTGAGACTGGCTTTGAACTCCTGATCCTCCTGCCTCAGCTTCCCAAGCTGCAGGGATTCCAGGCATGCTCCACTCAGTTTGGCTTCCTTTTTATTTTGAGGCAGAGTCACACTCAGTTGCTGAGGCTGGCTTCAAACTTGTGATCCTCCTGCCTCAGCCTCCCATGTCTAAATGTTGTCAAAGTTTGAGCTGCTTCTTCCTTAGGAGTGTGCAGTCTGTGGGCCAGGCTCTCCAGCTCGATTGAGCTTAGAATGCCCAAACCAGCTCCTGCTACACTAAACAGTGTCACACCAAGCTCTTTCCCTCTGATGACATCATTTTAAAATGAGAAAAGTCAAATTAACATTCAATAGATGTTTTTGATGATTTTGATTTACACTTACACAAGATTTTACAACTCTTCACTATGTGGGGAGGTTCGATGTCAGGTTGAGTTTGTAATATTTTAACGTGATCCCCCACTAAGCTTGGTTATTAATGTGGGTTGCATTAACACAGAATAGTTTTTCAGAGATATTAAATATGTTATTGAAGTTATATTCTTGATTAGCATGATTTTGCACACATTTCTTTTTAAAGTCAA